AAAAAAAAAAAAAAAAAAAAAGGTGGCTACTGAAAAACTGGATTGCTAATTTTAAATTAAATTTTAAAGCTACATGTGGCTAGTAACTGCTAGTTTACACAACGTGGATCTAAAACACTCCAAGATCTTTGTTTTTCACAACCTGTTAATTCTGAAGAATATAGACACGAAAGGACACATCCTATGCGATTTTTTTTTTTTTTGAGACGGAATTTCGCCCTTGTTGCCCAGGCTGGAGTCTAATGGCGCGATCTCGGCTCACCACAACCTCTGCCTCCTGGGTTCAAGCAATTCTCCTGCCTGAGCTTCCTGAGTAGCTGGGATTACAGGCATGTGTCACCACCAAGCCTGGCTAATTTTTGTATTTTTAGTAGAGATGGGGTTTCTCCATGTTGGTCAGGCTGGTCTCCAACTCTCGACCTCAGGTGATCCGTCTGCCTCGGCCTGCCAAAGTGCTGGGATTACAGGCGTGAGCCACCGTACCCGGCCATGGTTCCACTTTCATGAGGCCCCTGGAGTCGTCAGATCCACAGAGAGAGAAAGCAGAATGGCGGGTGCCCTCGAAGGGCTGGGCGACAGGGTGTTGTGGTTTTGTGGGGAACAGAGCTCTCGCTTGGGAAGACGAGAGAGTCCTGTGGATGGTGGTGGTGGTGCCTGCCAACAAAGTGAATGTATTTGATGCTACTGGACAGTGGCCTGGAGAAAAACTGGAGAAGATGCCGAGTTTTATGTTATGTATATTTTACCACAATAAAAAGATTAATTAGAAGAGAGACAGACAGACATGGAGACACAGACCCACGAGGAGGGCATGTGACGACAGGCCCCTCCCCTTAGCGACTGGGAGTGACACAGCTGTGGCCCAGCCACACCAAGGGTGGCCACTGCCGACAGAGGCGGGAGAGGGCGTGGGACGGATTCTCCCCGGAGACCCCAGAAGGAACTGTTGCTGCCGCACACAATTGATTCAGGCTTCTGGTCTGCAGCCCTAGGAACAAGAAGGTTCTGCCACTTAAAGCCACCACGTCCATGGCATTTGGGGAGGGCAGCGCCAGACACTGGAGCTGGGAGCGGGCCTGCGCCAGGGAAGGGGCTGCACCCTCTCGCTCGTCTGTATTGCCGCGTGCGCTGCGGCTTCCAGCCCGGCGCGACTATTTTTTGCATATGGCTCGTCTATAATTTCCACGAAGCATTTATTTTCATTCTTCCTCAGCCTCCCAAGTTTAGAGTTAATTACACAGATCCCAACCATAATCACAGCCGGCTAGGCCCAGGCTTCCTTTCGGGCGCAGGATGGGGCCAGAGCACCCCTTTCCCGTGGGGCCCAGCAATTGCTGTGCCTGGCCCGGCCCCACCCGTGGCCACTCTGGTCACCCTAACCTTTAGGAAGTCCTCCTGGTGCAGCTCTGGGCCCAACCCAGGGTGGTCTCTGCAAAACTGAGCCACACAGGCTGATGCAGATGGCAGGAACAGGGACCATATGGACAGGGATGACAGAGACCGGGACGAAGCCTGGGCACCACATCAGCCTCTACCTCGAGGGAGGCTGCACAGGGCCCGGCCTCCCTTCAGTGAGCATTTCCTGTGCTTTCTACAGTTCATCCCATTTTCCATGAAGGGAAACTGAGGCACAGAGAGTTAAGGACATGGGCACCTGATCAGAGGGCAGCAGCGCCAAGAATGAAGCCGTGTCGGCATCGGCCAGGGCAAAGGCCCTCTGAGAGGACAGGTGTGTGAGCAGGCACCGGGTCCCTCCTGCCATCCCTGAGCCCCTTTCCTCAGTGGCCCAGTTTGCAAGGTCTGTAGTCGCTCTGGAGCCAATCAGAGCCTCAAGGTCCAGGTTCTAGATAGAGACCCCGACAGTTGGCAGGGACTGGACCCAAGGCTGAGGTTGCCGCAAGTGCGTCTTGGCCACAGGGGCCCATTGAGGACACAGGCCGAGGGACAGTGGGCAAGGGAGGCCCAGATGGTGATCAGCGCCAGGTGAAAAGTCCCCTGTCCATGCTCAAGCTGTGGGGGCTGGCTTCAGCTGTCACCTGTGGCTGCAGGAGCAAGCGGCATTCTCTCTCATTGATCCAACCTGGCCTTCGGGACCCCCCCCCCAACAAAGGCAGCCACTGCTTGCCCCAGCATCCTGGACTGTAAGTCCAGCTGAGCGGCCATAGCAAGGGTCTGTCCCCAGAAAACAAGCCCTGTGACAAGGGTCCCAGGGTTGAGTGGCCTCTCCCCCAGGCTGGCGGCTATGCGGTCCCCACTGTGTTTGCTTAGGGCACTCTGAGGGGGCATGGGCTACCCCACCTCCCACTCTCCACAGCCCCAGACTGCAGGGAGGGCTCCTGCCCCTGGGCCCTAAGAATCCCTTGTCCAGGCTCTGCCGCTGCAATGAGAGGCGGCGTGTACTGTGCCCTGGAAACGTCAGCCCCTTTCTCTCCA